GGGGGGTTACCGCGGCGGCGGAGGGGGACGGCGGGCCGGAAGTGCCTCCCCCACCCCCCGCTGCGCCGCGAGACAGGAAGTGACCCAATGCCCACGAGGGCGTCGCGCCTCCCGATTGGAAGAGGAAGGCCCTGCCCAAGCGCCTGCGCAGTACATGAGTCAGCAACTTTGCTGGCGGCGCATGCGCCCCGGGCCGCGCCCGGCGGGGAGGGAGGGGAGCGCGCATGCGCGATGGGGCGCCCTGCCCCGGCGGTCTGGGCGCAGCCCCAGGGCGAGGGCTTCGAATAGCCCGAAAGATGGAAAAAAAACCCCAAAACCAACAAAAAAACCCAAAAAACACTTACTGCTCCTCAGCACACGGCTTTTATTGAGGCGATCTGCGCACTGGGGAGGTGGCTGATAGGACACGGCCTCTCACGGGGGCACAACTCGCTGCGAAATTCGATCATGACAATTTAAATCCACGTACAAAGAGTTAACAGCCATTATCCGGAGGGGAAAGGCTGCGAGGTTCTTCGCTCCTGACACCTTAACCCCAGTGTTGTACACCAAATATGGGAAAATGTAAAGAAAAATGGGAAGGAACTAACGTTATCATCATAATAAATAAAGAACATGGAGAGACTTCGCATTCAAATTCCTCCCACAGCCCTGCAACGTAACTCAGTGACCCGACGAGGCCGTTTCCCGCCGACATCCACCCAATTTCTAACCTTCTTCCTAATGAAACGACCCAACGGCTCCTCCTCTTCTCAGGCCTCCCATACAGTAGCTCGCGCATTACCAAAGTCTAGCATTCACATCACAGCAGCCGACAACCCTCCGTCCTCCTCTCGCCAAGACGTTCGTCATGGCTGGGGCTGAGGAAGAGGCGAGGATCGAGAGGGCACGCGTCCTTACTATTATCTTCACTAACAGCGGGGAGATGACGTGATGGCAGCTTTTAGGGCTTTAACGGAGGTTTGGGAGAGTTCTTTTTTAGTCATAACAGACCGATGTCTCTTTTCCATTTCTCTTCCATTTCTTCTCGCTGGGAGACATGCAGCGTACCATTTTGTTGCGCTAGCAGCTTTTCCTCCCAAATTCTCTTCCAGCAAAAATGTAATACAGATGTTTGCATCCATCAGTCACGCGAGCTGGAATTTCTCACCGAACCCAGCAGCAATGCAGGGCGGCAGATCTTCAGCCAGTCCGAATCTCAGACACCTTCTCCAGCCTCAGCCTTCGGTTCGCCCGCAGCCCTACCGCCAGGCACGGTTCAGCAGCTTCACCTGAGCAAGTCTCTTTGTGATCATAGTAGCAAAAACCAGCCCGAAGAGGACGCTGCTTATCAGCACGTAGTCATAGTCATCTTTTAGGACATCAAACTGCTTCGATGGGTACACTCGGGTCTGGTAGATGTCCAGGCCGTACGCAACAACCTAAAGAGATGAGATCGTGAGCTGGTAATGCAGCTTTGAGCATAAAACCAGATACATCAAAAATGATTGACGCAGAGTCTATAGTCCTGATTAAAACAAGAAATGTTTAAGCGGTGAGCAGCCACGTAATGGGAAGTTGCAGACCTCCCTGCCGCAGTATCATGCTGCTCTACCCACAAACTCCACGGTCCTACATCGAATCCTCCACCCTGCACTCACCAAACAAGTAGACTCGAGGCCAGAGGGAGCCGTATAAATCCCTCTCATTCGCGATATGGTTTGATTGTAGTTGATAAACCTCTCGGCATGGATCTGCACATCAGGGGAGTATGGAATCAAGTTCTCTTCTCTGAAAGGCATTTAAAAAGAAATCAAAACCCAAGCAAATAGCACACGAAGGACATCATCTGCATTTCCTAGTTTGATCACCGCAAGCTGACCTAAACCAGCAAATTTAGCAGCTTTTCCCAGCAGTTATCGCACTTTCTTTACCTGCTTTGTTCCGTAGGGATCTCTGGGCGGCGAGGATCCAGCAGAGCCTTTGGAAGGGAGAGGATGGCCCCGGAAGGAAGCCCAACTGTACATTAAAAGAAATGCATCTTAAAAATGGCCATTTCTGACAGCATTTTCTAACACCTAACATAAATGCTATCTTCGTGCTTATCCGTGAACTTGCCAGGAGTCCAGGGCAGCCTACAGGCAGGATTTTTGGCAGTAAACTGCATTTTGCTTGATTTTCAGTGTGAAACATGGCTTGTGCAGGTAGCATAAACACAGAGCAGCATGGACTTACTGAGCAAGTGACGGCTGGTGATGCCACGCTCGGTGATGGTGGCCTCCATGGCACTGATAGCAGATGGGAAGATATAAGATTGCTGGAGGACCTGAGGTAAAATCGGGCGGTCAAGGGAACTGAAGGCTGTAGCATTGTATTGCTCCGTCCCCTCATACAGCTCCAGCACAGTGAACTCGTTCCGACGTGCCTTTGTGTTCCAGTACTGGTACTGAAACAAGAGAAGATTTTTAGGAATGCGAGGCAAGCAGAGTCAATAATACAGAGGCGGCAGGAAATCACAGAGCATGGTCAAAAAGTATTCTCCATACAGGTTCAGCAACTGCCCCTACCTCCCAAATGTAAAGAAGACGACAAGAATAACTTCTTACCACCACCCAGTTCTCTGAATGAACAATGTGGACAGGTCCCTTTGCTTTCTTCTGTACCGAAGAGTGGATGATCCTGCCTGTGACTCCATCAATCAGATATATTCCAATGAAAGTGCGCTCATGATGCGTATCTGTGCTCTCTGTCACCACAGCAAGCAGGTTTGGATTCAAGGACTAGAGAAAAAGAAAAAAACCAAACAACTAAGACCTCCCCACTTTAGTGCCACAGGCACCTCATTTATCTGCATTTCATCTGGGACTAAGCATATAATAAATGAAGTATCTTATTAGCACAAATCACCTGAAGAAATCAAGCAGCTGTTTCCCCATCATCAGATGTCTGACTGACTTAATTGCTGCATGAAAACATTTTATAAAGGAAATCTCCAGCAAAATTAGCATCTTCTGCAGAGGGTTATGGACACTGGTGCATTTATAGAAAAAAATAGCACTACAGGGCAGTTAATCAAAATGTAGCACCTAGAAACAGTGCTGAGATCTTCCCGTGAGCAATACATCAAGAAAAAGTCAACAAAAACTTCCAACGGCACCTTATAGAGAACACTGCGGTCTCCCATCACACGGCCCTGGGAGTGCACGTGCTCATTGGACCTCTTCCCTTTCACAGTCACTATTCTCTGTACTTCTGTGGGTATAACCACCTCCCAACTCTCCTCCGTTGTCAGGTCCTGCAAGAAAAAAGCATGACATAGAAGGTTTTATCTTGTCCTTAAAAGACACCATCTCCACCAATCAGATGCTGGGAGCTTTCTCTGCTTTTGAATTTTAAAAGTTTCTTAGGCACATTTTGAGGCTGAACTCTTTCTATTCTGAGCAAAACTCCGTAAACCAAATGAAGTGATATACCATCATCCAGAGGACATTTAGGAAAATTAAGTCATTTAGACTGTAATGAGTCTTCCATACCTTTTTCAGCCTGAATCCAGAGAGTTTTCCCTGCTCAGCATCCACTAGATAAAAAAAGATAGAATGGGCTATTTCTTCTAACTGACGAAGGACATTTTTAGTTGCTGGGAAAGCTGTAACCTGGAAAAGAAGAATTGATATACAGGTTAAAAACCAATGGATGCACATAAAAAAAAAAAAAACAAACCCAAAACAAAAACCAAAAAAACCCAACTAAACAAAAAAAAATACAAACAAACACAGAAAGATTATTTCAAACATGCTTATCAGGATGAGGTCTGTCTTACCAGAATAACCTCATAGTTTTCTGTGAAATGTGACTCAACAGCATTTTTTTTGTTTAAATCTTGCTCCGAAAGGGAGGGGAATAATTAACCAGAACATGAAGAAAACTGCCTCCAAGCAAAGCAATTTACCTTGTACTCATCATCGATCAAGAGTAGTACTTTGGCATAGTCTTGATCCATAATAGGCAGAAGCAAAGTCTGAAGTATTGGACGCTTCAAAACAGGGGGAGCTACTTGACTTCTCTTCCCAAAGATGGGGTTAAAGACATACAGAAAGCTCATTTTGGTTTCCTAAAAAACAAACAAGATGCAACATTTTTTCTAAGGCAGAAAAGAGAGCTGTTTTTCTATCTGTTACTTGCTGGTGTCGACCATTCATACCCTGGATTCAGCTATTCCATCCTCAAAATATTCTGTTTGGACATGCATATATTCTATCTCACCTTTCTCTACCAAAACCATACCGTGGCACAACACAGTGTTCATGGCTTTAACTAAAATCTATCTGCCACCTACTGAGGCAGTCTCAACACATCTCCTCCTCCCTCATGTATGGAGTACAAAACATTCTGCAGCTAGCTAAAGGACAGCCATTGTCACCTAGCTAATGGAGACCACACATGACTTAACTCACATGATGAAAGAAACTGGATGAAATTATTTCCTTTGTTTCAATAAAAGGCCTCAAGATGAGCATCCTTACATTTTTTTAAGATTGTGTGTCTGCTTCCTTCCAGCTCTCAATCTCCTCCTCTCCCCATGCCAGTGATAACCAGACGATACCCAGAAAGATACTTTCTTCTGCCCTTTGAAAGGGCAGATTTCCATGCTAACCAAGTTCAATGGAGGGATAGAGGAAAGGGACTCACCTTGTCCTTAACAAGCAAGGTACATTGTGGAGGGTGTGGGAAATGGGCTGTTGTTCTTTGGACCATCAGCTTAAAGGAGGAGCCTGGTCTCACATTCCTGAGATACTGCTTCCACAGGATGGTGCCAGAACTGCTTTCAATACCAAAAAGCTGAGCAAAGACACACAGTAAAGCCAAAGTTTAGAACAACGCATCTCTCACATTCAAGCACCACATCTTTCTTTGGGATATAACAAAGAAAGAGGAGTCCTAGTCCCTCTCTGAAGCTACCACAAAACATTCTGCCCATCTCCTCACAACATCCTGCCCAAAGCCTGGCTAAAACGGGGGTGGGAATTCAGAGCTGAAACTCTTTGCTACAGTCTAGAAACAGATTCCTACCCTGGCTTCCTCACCTTTCCCGAAGCGGTGACCATCACCATCATCTTCTGGAGGTTGAATTCATCTCTGGCCAAATTGTCAATGTTAATCTCATTTTTAATCTGGCTCCGGGGTTTCCTTGCATCATAGAACATCTTCCAAAGATGGGCGGTCCAGGCTTGCAGCAGGATAAGTTGGGAGGACAGCCGCTTCAGAAACATCCCCAACAAACCATCTGCAAATAGACCAACGGTGATAACAAGAGGGAAAAAACATTATGTCCCACTCCATAATTGGAATTATGGCCTCAGCAAGTAAAAGAAATGCTGCCATGCATGAACCTATGGTAATTCTTTGCCTCTGCCTCCCACTCCACAATAGCAGAGTTATAGTTACCATTTCTGTGATAGGCTCTGGCATTTACCAACCTTTTCCCGCTTCACAGTGCTATAGCTCATTCCGAAAGATGCCCTCATCAACTGAAAGCAAACCTTCTTGCAGAGTACATCATCTCTTCCTTTGTATTTCTTCTTTCTCACCAGTACACTCACAGCAAGTGCCCAGCTAGAGCTTACCCGCCTATACGGTCTATATCTCCCTCTGCATTCATTTCTCAGAGCAAGACAAGCTCCTGAAGTAAAAAAACACTTAATTCTGCCCAATCAGGGTTTATATTTATCTTCTCAAAATAAGCAAAACACCAGACTTCAACTATATTTCACCACTAAGGAAAGCAAGCATAGAGGACATCAAATTCCACTAAGAAGCATTAGTAAGAAATGTTAGAAAACACTGCATGCAGACTGAGGTTACCTTGAATGGCTGCATCCAGGACAGCAAGAAAAAACAAAACAAAGCAAAAACAAAAGCTATTGCAAACGAGTCTTCCAGAAAGGGTCAAAGGGAAACGTTTAGGAGAGATGGCCAAACCCCTCCTATCACTGCTGACTGTTGATTTTGAGTATAACAATGTAATACGCTTATGCCATCTGCATTTGGCATTGCACTTCAAAAGTTTAGACAGAGATGGGTTTATTTCTGCTCATTTTAATTGCCATCAGTAGAACTTTGAATCATAACTCACAGCTCAGATGAAAGCAAAGACAATAAATACATTTTTTCAGGAAGAAAAACAAACTCACATGCCTAAAAGTAATTCTATTAAGTCTATGGTTTACCTGCTTTCTTTCCAAATTCTCCCTCCAACTCAGCCTGTGCGCCTGTCAGAGGTAGATCCACCATCTCCAAGCTTACCACTTCTGCTAATGATTCCTCTCTACTCCATACAACTTTTCCTGGAAAGACAAATAAGTAGAATATTGGAAAATCAATTTAGTACCTGGGAATAGACTTTTGGAGGAAAAATCATCACTCAGTATAGAAGCTTCTTCCAGTAGGCCCTTCCAATGCAATTCACTGCTCTTAATGAAATGCAAAATAGTGTATATCTCTCTAATAACATGTGATTAGCTTTTTCATAAAAGACAAATACCTTATGCAACTGGAGCCACTGTCAAAAAAACCCCCACAGGAACAGTAAAAGCAATCTGATGTTTTAAAAGGGTTACAGTCATTAAGTCTACTTAAAATAAGAGATACACAGTGTGAACATCTGGATGCCCTTTAAACCCTAGAAAATTCATGTCACTGAGATGGACTTTCAACCCTTTCTGCAAATTAACATATTTGCCATAAGGATCTTTTCTGAAGAAACCTTGAGGAAGATCTACAACAGGACTTAGACTCTCATCCTACAGAAGGTTTTGAAATCTGCAGAAAAACCATGAAATTCAAAGGCTCTGTCTATACAAAGAGCACTGCAGAACTGTTTTCTCAGATGAGATGTCTTGTGAAGGTGAGTCTCCAGTATCTTTCATGGCACTTAGAATAGTTAAATTAATTTTGTCACTTTCCAAACAAAGCAGTGGTAAAATATAATCATTTGGGACTTGGAATTTTCTTCTTGTCCTACAGTGACAAGGTGTGCACTGTTAAAAATGGAGTAAGCTAGCTGTTTGTGCCAGTTACCTGGCTGCTGGAGGAACATTAGCATGTGGTCCTCTGTTTGCACCAAGGCTCGATAGCCCACAGAGTCATCCTTCTTCAGGAAAACTTGGATGTATAGCTGGAAAAAAAGAGCAAGCAAAACCGTGAGGTTAATGACCATATCATCTCCTTGGAGAAAACAGAACTCTTGGGTGACACAAGAGCAAACAGTGTGATTGCATGCAGTAATCCAGTGTGTCTGCAGAATGCTTTTCACCTTGTCTGAATGGATCTACCAATCCTGCCAAATCAGGGTAGGGAGGGCACTGCAAGTCTGATAAACCACAAGACTGAAATAATCTCTCCCTGCTCACCTGCTGTGGCTTGGCGCCGCTCTGCTCCAGGTTAAAAGTAATTGTGGTATCCAACAATCTTTGTCCAGTTTCAACCAGGTAAAGATTAATATTGTAGGTTTGATTGGAACAGGTTAAGGATTCCTATAACAACAGGCAGAAAATAGCTGAGTTAAACATACATGCCACACCAAATTCTCCAGAATGATTTCATATTCAGCAAGAACTGTGGCTTTGAGATATTTTTAGATTATACATATGCAGCTGCTACAAAACATCAGTCTCCAAAAAGATGGTGTAACACCTTTTCCATTCTGTTCCTGCACGCAAAGGAATGAAACAGACTGTCAAGAACTTCTGCTGTTCTTGGGAACGAGCATGCTTCGTACCTGCTTCTGGGAATCCTCCAGAGTACTTCCAGCATGAAGGCCATCAGAACCTCCAGGTTTCTGAAATGAGGATGAGAAGAGATAACATGGCTTCAGACCCCAGTAAAAGTATAAAAAAAATAATACTTTTTGAGTGCCTGACAAGTCTCAGCTTGACTCTGAAAACAGGCAGAAAACAGTTCTGTTTTATACCATTTTATTCTATTCCTGATAAAAATGAAACCTTACTAAGTTTGATATCCCTAAGAACTGAAATCCTCTATTGATCAGTAAAGCTGATTCGTAGGTTACATACCCACAATAAACAAGGCTGAAACAGGCTGCACAGAGGACAGCGTGCTCCATCAAGCCAGAGACAGCCTCAGCTGGATGTAATCAAGACCTACTTGCATTACCACTGTCTTCATATGTCTGACAAGCTAATTATATCTTCCTCAAGTTACTACCCATCTCTGGGCCTGTGAAGGAAAACACTTGTGGAACCCACCCCCAGTGCATATCCACTCTAGAGCTGTGCTGGTTACATAGTACAGGCAAATTGTACTCACCAGTTCACTCCTGCAGGTCAGGACAGCAGCCACAGTTTTCTCCCCAGTTGTTGCAAAACTCACCAGAGCTGCCTGAAAAGAAAAAAAAATAGCAGGAAATCATAAAATAAACAAGAAAATCCCCAAACCCCACCAAAAACTACCTGTGCAGCAAATTAAGCCATACTGGAATTAAAAATCTTTCACAGCCAAATTTTAAATTTCATTGTGTCGCCAAATAAATTAAAAAAAAAACAACTCTATTGTAAGACTGAAAATACTTTTCATACAGATGGAAACAGTTGACCCACCACAGGCTTTTGAACCATTATGTCCAGTGTTACTGAGCTTTTTAAAGCTTGCTTGCTTTTCAAAACCTCTCAGCTGGCCTAATAAAAGTACTGCTGCACCACTGGCCACTTAGACACACGTGTCTATCCAGCTCAAAACCAGGAAACTACCTCAACACTGGCAGTTGTTGGCAACAAAGCATACGTACACTGATGTCTGGAAATATTTCAGCAGCTAGTACAAATGAAATCAAATGGTTTTCAAGTGTTGCAGCCAAGAGCACAATCAAAATGAGAAGCTCAGCAGTTCACTCAGAACACTTAGTACAAGGGTATTCATTTGTTTTAAAGAATTTTAAGCTGTAGATGGCCCTGTCCCTTGAGTACATTTATCTTGGTTACCTGCTGGAAGTCCCGAAGGTGGCTGAGCAGCCCATGTTTGTACTGCAACAGAGAGAAGTGGCTTGGAGACAGCTGCAGGAAGAACTGAGTCCGTGAAGCACTGATTACATTGGGTTGAGTGGCCAATATCCTGGGCTGGAAGCCATCAGCAAACTCCAGGTCAAGCGACTGTGAAAGGGAGACAAGCATATGTGTTCATGAGAACTTTTTCTTCACCAAAACTAATACTTTCCTTTTCTCAGCAGCAATATAAGCTTTATGAAAAGGTTCACCATGTCAGGATAAACAAAGCACAACCAATGAGGCCTAGGGTCCCATCAGAGCAAAGCTCTGAAGACATCAATCCAGAAGGAATGATTAGAAAAAAAGTTTTCTCTCCCTTCCCTCAATTTATGGATCATTATCCCCCCCACCTCTTCAATCATCCTGTAGTTTACCGATAGGAGAACTCCCTATGCCGCCAGGCTCAGTCAGGCACTAAACCAGTTGGACGACAAATTGCGTACAATGCTCTTCCAGCACTTCTCACCTGCAGCGGGATCTGCTTCATCTCCTGCTCTGTCTCCAAGGAGCAGACATAGAGCGAATGCGTGCCCATGTCCATGCACACCAGCACTGCCTCCCCCACCACACTGCACACACCGTTTAAGCTCTTCAGCCACGGGGCTGCTACTCTGATCTGCCAAGCAAGACATAAACAAAGAGATGAAGTTGCCAACAGAATGAAATCTTCAAAGAACCCACTTGGACACAACCAAGAATTTTAGTCAGAATTATTTTTACCCATGACCCTAAGAGAAATTATCGATCAGCCTGAGATTTCCAAGATAGTCTTGACTAACAGCTGCAAGTCTAATTCAGTTTTGCTTTCAGGGCATTCAGCAGTGAAATCCATCTATCGGCCCATAGGCAATACCACAGTGAAAAGGAAATTTATCTGTACTACAACAACAACGAATTACTCTGCACACCACACCACAGCCATCTAGTTGCAAGTACATTTGTTAACATCAAATTCAGTATTTTGGATTCATAATTGAGCTCTACCTGTTTTGTCATTTCTCCATCTTCTACACTGAATGTTAAAATGTTCAAGTGGCTCTGGGGAACAATTCCAAGCACGTGGATCACTCCAGTCCCATGGGAATACAACAACTGGTACTGAGTACTCTCACTGCAAGAGAGGCAGCAACCATGAAGCATTGTTTTCTCACACTAGTTTTTTCAGATGTTTTCAAAAGCATAAGGCAAGTACAGCATCCTTTCCTCTCCAATGCAACAGGCTCCCTATCAGAAGTTTACACTTCTACTTAAAATATGTTCTTACCTTTCTGGTAAGTGTTCCACCCATTTCTGGTGCCCATTGGAAAGGTAGTGAAGAGAGATGGCTGCCTTCTTCAGGACTGCCACATATTTCACCACATCCTGTAGCCCCACCAAACTAGCCACCTGGAAACTAAGCACAGGTCAGAGACAATAAATTAGAAAATTATTTTATGCTAGGAAAAAAAACCCCAATGCTCTGTTTGAAGACCTTCTTCAAACACTTAACATCAGTCTTGAAGTGCAATTTATAGCCCACTTTATCTGTCTTTGCTGATCTCAACAGAGAGCATTAGGCTAGAATCCAAACACCCCAAACCAGACACAGGTTGAACATATTGTATATTTAAAGAGAAAATCCATCTATGAAAAAAATTTGTATCTTTTTATCTTACTGGTTTGCTGAGAAATAGAAATAGCATTAGATTTAACCACAAAGTTCAGGCACTCATAAAGAATCCATCTAAATGTTATTTTGGAAACTTTACATCTGACTAATCTTTCTCCATAATGCAAGTCCAGACAATGTCAACAACTCCTTTTTTTCCTTCCTAGACCAGCGTCACAAAGAGAAAAAGACAGTGCAAACACCAAAGCCTACCTGCCAGTGTCCAGTGACGTCTCCCAGTTCAACCCTCCGATGTTGGTCTCCCAGGAACGCAAAATACGTCCAGCATTGGACAAAGTGATGGCATCTGCCCGGGAAATTAAGAAAAGAAGACGAACACAGAACTTGTATCCCTCCACAGATCAACAAGGCAATGAATTCTGGCAAGTTCAACCTGGGGTCCAACACGTGGTTGAGATCCCACGTACAAAAACAACTGCTAGCCCCAACACACCATCTGCATGCTCTCCTTACCCTGCCCATGGATCAGCATCGCATCTATCGCTCCTTCAGGGGTTCCCTTGTCTACATGGCGCCACACTGAAGGAAACAGAGTTAAGTGAGAACAAGATTTGTTCCCCCTAAAGGCATTTGTTTGTTATTATTTTTAAATCTAGTCTCTTTATGGCAATAAATTTATGCAAAGAACAGTCTGTCTGCCCTAAGCAACAGCTTTTGAACCACCCGCTGAATCCTCTCAGTCTGACAAAGCAGTATCACCAGCATTAATTTATCAGTATAAAAACATAATGCAACTTCATTGACACGTTAGCCCGAGCACAACAGGTGTACTCCCCACCACAAAACCCCGCTTCACTCACGGATTTCGCCGCTCCTGGAGTTCAGGGCGGCCACGACGTTCTTCTCGGTGGCCACGATGAGCTTCTTCGAACCCTGCGAGGCCTCCAAGGAGGCGAACTTGAGCTTCCCCACGTACTGCTGCCTCCTGGGAGAGGAAACGCGAGCGGGGGTGAGACGGGACAACGGGGCACCTCGGCTGAGGGGGCGGGACGGGGAAGGCCCGACGAGCGACTGCAGCAGGAAACCTGCTTGCAGGAGGAGGACCCCGGCGCGGTGGGGACCCCCCCGGCTTTCCCCCAGCACCCACCAGTCGAACTTGCCCACTTGGTCCTCATAGACGGCGGCCGTCAGCGGCGGCAGCAGCAACAGCACCCAGAGCCCCGCCGCCATGGCAGCGGCCGGCCGCGATCCCGGCGCCGAGGGGACCTTAACGCCTCGGGGCTGCCCGCGCCCCCGCCTGAGCGAAAAACTCGCATGAGCGCCGTCAGGTGAACGCAGGCAGCGCGCAGGGCAGCCCGCGGGCGTTCCCAGCAGCCCGCTCGGAGCCGGAAAGGGGGCCTCGAAGCACGGCGGCGCCATGCCGAAGTCCAAGCGGGACCGTAAAGGTGAGCGCCCCGACTTGCCCCCGGTGTCCCCCGCTCCGCTTCTCCCCCATCCCCGCCCTAACGTCCCCGCTCTGCTCCATTCCCCGTAGTCTCCCTGACGCGGACGCCCAGGAAAGGCTTGGAGGCCAAGCAGGCGCTTATCACTGAGGTAAGTGCGGCCCGGTGCTCCGGTACCCCGGTGGCCGGTGCCCCGCTCCCGGTTAACCGCTGCCTTACAGCTGCGGCGATGCGTGGACACCTACAAGTACATCTTCGTGTTCTCCGTCGCCAACATGAGGAACAACAAACTCAAAGATGTCCGGAACGCTTGGAAGCACAGCAGGTGAGCTGGGGCGCGGGGGAGCTGACAGCTGCAGCCTCCTCCTCCTCCTCTTCTTCATCCTCCTCTTCATCTCCTCCCGCCCCAGGATCTTCTTCGGGAAGAACAAAGTGATGATGGTGGCGCTGGGACGGGAGCCGAGCAGCGAGTACAAGGAGAATCTGCACAAGGTAGGGGCCGGGGGGATTGTTTTGGGGTTTTTTTTTTAATCTTTTCTGCACGTCCTAAAGCTCTGTGGCAGCTGTGTCACGGAATAAATGTGGAGGGACATCGGAGCTTCCTCAGGTGGCCTTTCTGCGGGTGTTTTAATTGACTCCCTCCATTATCGCGATGTGAAAGCTGTGTTGTTGGTGGAGCCACGGTGGCCGTGTGGGACTGAAGGGCAGGGGCTTGGCGCCAGGGTGCTGCCTGAGTCCCACGGACGGGCTCTTCCTTGCAGGTCAGCAAACACCTGAGAGGCGAGGTCGGTCTCCTCTTCACTAACCGCACCAAAGACGAGGTGGACGAGTAAGTACGCATCTTGCAGCTGTGGTTTCGAAATGCCGAGCAGCCTTTTTTCTACTCGCTGATGTTTCTCTTAAAGCAGCGACAATCTTACAAGGCTTTTTCACTCGGCTTTCTCCGCCGTCCCTCCAACAGTGGGGAAGAAGTTATGGCGAGCTGCGCCATAATCCTCGTCATAGCCCAGGGACGTTCTCACATCTCGTTACCCCTCTCCGTCTCAGGTGGTTCTCCAAATTCAAAGAGGTGGACTTTGCCCGCGCAGGCAACAAGGCAACATACACGGTGAGCCTAGACACGGGGCCCTTGGAGCAGTTCCCCCACTCCATGGAGCCTCAGTTACGGCAGCTGGGATTGCCAACGGCGTTAAAGAAAGGTACGTGAAGCGGCCTTCGTTTTTCATCTGCACAGGTAAGATCTTTAAGGAGAATGTTAAATATCGAGTGGAATTTAGTTTCAGAGAAAATCTGAGGGACATCTTTCTCCTCGTCCAGCTGGCACTAGAACTCATTATATTCTTTTTGCGCCATTCTTCCCAAACTGGTGTCAAAAGACTAGTGAAACAACCCAGTTTTTCCAAGATAACGTCCTTTTTCAGGGGAAACAACTAGGCCTAGCCTAACCCAGTCCCTCGGCATGGAAAGGCGTTTGAGAGGGTCTTACCTCTTACCCACGTGTCAGTGGGCTTATCCAGGATTTGTCAGCCTATTCCAAGAGCTTTTGTTCCTGCAGGAGTGGTGACGCTACTTTCAGATTACGAAGTCTGCAAAGAAGGGGACGTTCTCACCCCCGAACAGGCCCGCGTCCTGGTGAGTAACGTCGTAACGTGGTGTTAGCACAAGCCCCCGTTTCCCCCGACGTGAAATAATTAACTGTGCAGTTTAATTCTGCTGGAGGGTGTGAGTTCTCAGAGGAAGGTGAGCAGTACTTCTGGGTGTCAGTGGGGTGCAGGAAACATCCCTATGCGTTCCTAATGTGAGTTTTAAAACTCTACAGCGATTATTTTGGCTCCTGCTTTGTTGCAGTTCCCATCTGGAAGCGGTATTTGCCATGTTTTTGCTAGGCTGGCCATGGAGACAGTAAAGCAGGAGTGACAGATTTGTGTCCTTTCCTAGAAACTCTTCGGCTACGAGATGGCAGAGTTTAAAGTCACCATCAAATTTCTGTGGAATTCTGAGACGGGAGACTTCCAGAAGCTTGTAGGAGACACGGAGGAGGAGGAGGAGGAAGAGGAGGAGGAGGATGACGGTGATGACAGCAATGAGGACTAGCAGCAGTCCTTGTGCTTGGACACCAGACAGTTCTACTCTATTTTAGAGACAAAAAGAGGAGGGTGTTTCCCTTCCCTATTTGCACCAGGAGGACAAGGACTATCAGTTCAAGTAACCTCTTTGTAAAAGATGACCTAATTCTGCTTTTTTTAATATAAATCTATGTATAAAACTTCAGATGGTTGTCACTGCTGCCTGTTACTGTCGGACTACCCGGGATCTGAGGAAATGCCACCTCAAACACAAAAGCCAGGCAGAAAGCACATAAATGTAGCGCAGCTTAGACATAGCGCGCCTGACACCGGGGAAGATGCTGAGGGTTTGCTCTTATCTTCTGATAAAAGTTTCGGAAGAAGCTATTTAACTCAAAGTCACTGAGCGCTAATAAGAAGATGCCAGCTGGGTTATAGGTACAGGTAAGAGTAGGGTCTGTGTTAGAAAGAGGTTTTATTCTTGTACCTAATTATCGAAGATACCGTATTAAAGCAGAACCAGGGCCTTCACCCAATTATGTGTCCATTTTCCCCAATCAACTGCATCTCTAAATCACAGCGAGTGCTGCGCAGAGCTGAAGGCCCATGAGGGGAGAAAGAATAAGGCATGGCCCAACACAACAAGCGCTGACAGTGGTAGTGGATCCTACAAAGCTTTGTTAATACAGGGGAAAAAAAAAATCTCAACCCCTTTGCACGTTGATCAAAGGGGGAGGGTGGGTAAGTACCTCCCCCGTGCTTTGAGAGACTTGTGCTCAATTATCCACCCCCACAAAACCCGCTTTCTTCTCCCTACCCTAGTCTAGCGGAAATAGTTGGGGCAGTCGTGCGCAGTCAGGTTCCAGGCTTCATCAAACGCCTCCACGACTGGTGGGAGCAGGGGACCCTCTTCACTGTAGTTAAGGTTCTGCTCTAGCTGCTCCAAGTTGGACATCCCAATGATCACTGCATCTCCAAGAGAACCCTGGAAAGCAGTAAGAGGAGTTGCTGATCCCAAAAGAAACCTAGTTCACCTCCCAAGCCACTGTGGGCCAAACTTTAAACATTTCTTTTCAGTAAAGAACATCCAATAACTCCTGACGCCACAAAGTTCTGTTCACAAGGCCAGAACATCTCCCAGGTCATGCCAACTCCTCGAAAGCTGCCAAATCCTACTTTACGAGAGGCTACGGGAATATTTTGGGGAGATGGGGAATACAACCATTCATTTCCTAGCCCAATGACTGAAGTCATCTCCTTGCAGGGAAGTTGTCTGGGTGGGAAGCCAAGACCCCAGTAACTGGCACTTAAAATCTTCCGCTTTTTCCAATCCTATAAACACAGGATACCGTGGGGAAATGCAGAGCTGACTCACTCCTACAGCCTGGCAGGCTGAGTCTGTACAGCAATATTCACTTTGGAACGCTGCAGGCCCATGGGATATGCAGATTAAAAGAGAACTGTTTGTACGCAGACCCATCCCTGTTTGTGTGCTGCAAAAGCTGCCCAGTTCTGCTGGTGCTGTGCAGGCTGCCAGCTACAATCGTGTCAAGCTCTTACCTGCAGTTTCGAGTGATTGTACAACCAACGCAAAGCAGCGGAGGTCAGGCTTGGTGCACTGGAGCCGTAAGCAATTTTCAGAGCTCTTTCTACTAGGGCAATTCCTTCAAAATTGTGTTTTTTCCAGTACCTGCCAGAAGAGAAATCACTGTCATTGCCCTTGGGGCCCCCAGTGAACTGTACATCTATATTCTAATCAAGTATGAAAGGCTTTCAGAAAGCCTCATACAGCTCTTTGTAGCCTCTGAGGACCTCTGCAATCCCCAGCTGTGAGTTGGGAGGAAGCTGAGCCTAAAAACCACACTGCCAAGCTCAGTCACAAGGCGCAGCCCCAGTCACATGTGCAGACATAATCACTGCACGAGCTTTGCTCAGTTCTGCTTCCTCTCAGCTGATGATTAGTGTGGGGTTTTTTACGTAGCCATTCCTGCCACATCTCCCTGCTCATTTGTCAGCTCAAAACATACCTGTCCCTGTAGGCTTGAGCCCAGTCATTCCCAAAAAATCTTCCAGTGGGCTGGCGTGTGTCTTTGTCCTCATACTTGTACTTGCCGGTCAACAACCCTCCTGCAAAGGGTCAGCAGCATGTTTAGGGATGGACTGGCTCTTCTACAGCCCCCAGTTCACATGTTTTTGTCTCAATCTCACCCTTTTCCTCCCCATACCTGCAAGCGGATTGTAGGCGTAGAACCGCAGTCCATAGTATCTCAGGCAAGGGAACAGCTCGGCTTCCACCTGGCGAGTGGTGGCATTGTACATACCCTGCACAAAGATGAGGGAGACAAAGAGCTTCATACGCTAGCTCGTGACAGTGAGCACGAGCACCTGAGCGGCCTCTTCCCCACCCTTCCCTGACAATACTCTTATCCAGAAGAGCAGCTTCGGGTCACACAAGGTTATTATCTGCTTAGGAACAGACTTCCTAAAGCATTGCAAATAATGCAAAAACTTTTTAAGTTCCACATCAAGGGACTCACTGACTCAAGCAACAAGTGTGTACTCAGCCTTTTCCAAGAAGTGACCTACTGACCTTTCTAATCATGCATGTCCTGAAAAGACCTGCCAGATAACTGCAGCAGCTTCCTTTTCTGTGTTTATATCTGGCACACTGGGGGCTGGTCTGAGATTTGGGGCTCCCAGACCCTTTCCCACGGTGACTGACCATTGCTGTAAGGACAGAGAACCATCTGTATGCTGTTCTGATCTGAACCCTCGTATACTTTTGATTTGATTCATCTCAGCCTCCACAAAAGATCTGCCGGACCACGAAAGCCCCCATCCCTCACCTGGTACACAGTTGGCATCACCCAGTTGTTGTATTTGCAGATGGTGCAGATTTCTGCGACCTCCCACGCTGCGTAGTTTGATAGACCGAGTTCTTTAAACTTTCCCTGCAGAGGAATAAAAGGGTATTCAGTTCCAGATTGCAAGATGTATACGGTGAAAAGGACAGTTGCCAAATTTCAGTCCAGAGTTCTCTGCTCATCCCTGTCCACCTTTTCTAGATAGACTATGAATTATAAGACCTGACAAAAAAATTTCCCATTTTCTGTTCATTTTGAAGTCATACCTTCTAATTTAAATAGCGCTATTAGATTAATGCAATTCAGGAATTCTTCACTCATTACCAGAGCTAATCTTAACCTACTCAGTTAACACGGCTGAAAGCAAAGTTCAGATGTTCTAACGTTTCCAAGAGCTTTTGAGAACAAAGTGCACCACGTGAACATGCATGCAATGGAGCGTCAGTTGTTTGGCTTTGCCCTGGTCATCTGTGTTCCCTCTTCCTAGTGTTGCACAAACCCGGCGCTGTGGAAGGGCACAACAAGCAGCCCTGGTTTAAAAAGGTGGTGGGAGGGACTCAAGAGATGGTCCAGGCTTGGACTTTCCACTTTACTTCTTTGTGCAGCTCATTGCAGGCACGCAGCGTCTCCTCCACCGGGGTCCCGTGGTCAGGAGCATGAAGGTAGAAGAGCTCCACACTCGCCCTCTTCAGCCTCTCTAGGGACGTGTCCAGCTGTGATCTCACACTCTCGGGCTTCAGCGTCTTCCCATCCCAGGGATTGGCCTTGGTGGCAACTTCCACTGGCAGAGAGAAAGAAAGAATGAGCAGGGACGTTTCCACCTTCAGGAGGGGAATGGGAATAACGGATGTAATGAAAGCATTGCTCAAGGGGTTTCAGGGAAGGCCTCCCTCCTCAGGGACCATGTCAGCCTAGCAAGGGAGGCTCTTCTCCTTAGGGGCTGCAGGTCTGCCCTAGATAGGGAGGCCCCTCTCCTCAAGGCCTGGGGGTCAGCACTAGCAGGGGAGTCCCTTCTCCTCAGGGATAGTGTCAGCCTGGCAGGGAAGACCCCTCTCCTCAGGGAATGGGCCCCAGCAAAGTCCCTTCTCAGGGACGGTGTCAGCCTGGCAGGGAAGACCCTTCTCCTCAGGAAATGGGCCTCGGGGAAGTCACTTCTCCTCAGGGAACGGGCCCGGGAGAAGTCCCTTCTCCTCAGGGAACGGGCCCGGGAGAAGTCCCTTCTCCTCAGGGACGGTGTCAGCCTGCCAGGGAAGACCCTTCTCCTCAGGGAACGGGCCCGGGAGAAGTCCCTTCTCCTCAGGGACGGTGTCAGCCTGCCAGGGAAGACCCTTCTCCTCAGGGCCGTCCCCTCCCCCCCCAACCCCAACCCCACTGCGACCGGCCCCGGCCGTACCGGGTTCCGTGCCGCCAGCCAGCAGCGTGCCCAGGATGCGCTCGGACTCGCCACCCGCGTACATGTAAGCGGTGTCGATGAGGCGGTATCCGCGCCGCAGGAAGGCGCGGAGCAGTGCGGCGCTGGCCTCGGGCCCGGCGCGCCGTCCCACCTCCATGGCGCCCAGCACCACACCAGGACGCGCGCCGC